CCCCCCCCCCCCACCATAGACATGAATAAAGATTTAACAGGAAAAAGATAAAATACAAATCTTATTTTCTTTATCTTCCATTGAGGGACACAGGATTGTAATAGTCCTTGGATATGTGGGACATCCAGAAGCAGTTCAACTGAGGGGTTTGCAAACGGCACAACAGATGTGAACTCTTACTACAAGACTGGGAGAAGTAATCAATGCTTGAACAAAGGCATGATGGAGAAATCAAAATATGAAACAGAACAGTTACTTGAGAAAAATGACTAAGCCTAGTATACCAAACCTGAGGGAAAGAAAGCTCGGACTGACAAGGCTGTTACCCAACCAGTTAACAGCTGGAGGCTTAAGACGAGGGGTAGAACAGCCAGCGAGGGAGAGGTCTCTACATCAAGGATGCTAGAGAGGAAGGTCTCTCTCTATCTATCCATATTAGAGCCCTCTGAGCAGGGAATCTTAAAACAGAGAAAAGGCTGATAACCATGAATCCTTAATGGGAACATGAGGTGATCAACACCCATCTGAAAGGGCAGGCAGGGTATCCCTTCTCAATTATAGCCAAAAGTGGTTTAGGGATGTGATGGTCATCTCACCAAGCAATTAATATTTAAATCTAGGAATCGGTAAACTTTGTTCCGTAAACGGCAGAATCCAACGTATAGAACAGGGGTCCTCAAACTACGGCCCGCAGGCCACATCCGGCCCGTAAGGGTCGCGTCACCGCTGCATCAGATGCGGCTCTCTAATTGGGCCGCCGCTCGCTCCTCAAGGGGGTCCTTAGGAGGCCCCAGCGGGCGGACCTCTACGATGCCTGATTAGAGGGCCGTGTCTGCCTGATCCAGACAGCCCGGATTGCATACGAGGCAATCAGGCATTGTAGAGGGCCGCCCGCTGGGGCCTCCTAAGGACCCCCCTGAGCAGCGAGCGGCCGGCGATTACAAAGCGGGCGGGCTGACCGGGCGCAGGTGGCAGAGAGAGGTGGCGGAGGGAGCCACTGCAACTGCGGCCACAGCAGACCCCCCACAACCAGGGAGCCCCCATTGACCACCAGGGTAAGTTAACAACTCTGTTAAAATAAAATCAAGGGACATTTTTAAATGTCCCTGGGAACATAAATTAAAACACACACACATATATATATTTTAATACTCGCCTGATCCCTAGATCCACCGACGAACGCAGCGTCCCATCTCCCACGCTGTCAGAAGCTGCAACAGAGCGTGCTGGTTACTACTTAAACCGGCGCGCGCTGTGTGCAGCTTCTGAGAATATACGCTATTAGCGTAGCGGAGAAGCCGGTTGCGCATTTTGCAAAGCGCCCGCTACGCTAATAGTGTATATTCTCAGAAGCTGCACACAGCGCGCGCCGGTTTAAGTAGTAACCAGCACACGCTGTATGCAGCAATTTTTTCTATTCAGCCTGGCTTCCTGACCAATCAGGAAGCCGGGCAGTACGTCATGACTCGTGTCACGGCTTCCTGATTGGTTAGGAAGCCGGGCTGCCTACCAACAAGTGAAGCTTGCTTCCCAGCCAATCAGGAAGCCATGATGCAAGTCATGACGTACCACCTGGCTTCCTGATTGGTCAGGAAGCCAGGCTGCCTAGAAAAAAGTGAAGCCGGCTTCCTAGCCAATCAGGAAGCCAGGGGGTGGGTCAGAACGTGCCGCCCAGCTTACTGATTGGTTAGGAAGCCAGGCTGCCTACCAACTGAAGCTTGCTGCCTAGCCAATCAGGAAGCTGGGCAGCATGTCATGACCCACCTCCTGGCTTCCTGATCCGGCCCCCAACAATGTCTGAGGGACAGTGAACTGGCCCCCCGTTTCAAAAGTTTGAGGACCCCTGGTATAGAAGCTAGGGTTAGGAATCCACAAACAAGGAAAATTAGGTGCAACAAATAACAGAGAAAGGAACCATCTTCCAGGAACTAGGCCACATGAAGGCCTTCGGACTTACAATATCCCATTTAGGGAAAATATACAAATGGGATAAAAGAATGTTCTGTTAGTTGACCTTCCAGGGATGTACAGGAGCTACGAGTGATGGATGAATCCTTGTGTAGAGGTAGGAGGCACACTTATGGTAAGGGCCCCAACACTTTGTGTAGAACAGCAGATGACAAGTGTGTTAGAAGATGCATCCATTGGCAAAATGCTCCCAGAGGGAGGAAAGTCCCCATTCTGACTAAAATCCAGCAAAATGTGGCAGGACTTCTAGGAGGACTGTACCAGACAGGTGCAGAACCCACATTTCAGATTCTCAAGGGATAGCACAAGAAGGGGAACTTATGGAATGAGGAGTTCTCAGACTATCCCAAAGAGCCCCCAAAGAGGAATGGAGACAGAAGCCTCTGCATGAAGTGGAAGAGTCATGAACACTGACTTTTCAGCGAAGGAGTTTACGGCCTATGATGGAGAAGCAAAGGTACTGGGGAGAACATAATATTTACTGCCATGTGTAAGGAGTAAAAACTACCAGAGCACACTAAAGAGTATTGTGTAAAAGTACAAGGGCGCAATGGGGAATGATCCCTATAGATGAGGGAAGCAGATGCCACAACAGGAAGATGCTTCTTCTAGGGCGGAGAAAGAAAGATTGTGCAACACTCCACCTTGCGCACGACATCAGCGCTCAGTGTACAACTGTGAGGGTGGTTCTCAGTCCTGCAGTCTGATTAGACTTGCTCACTTTCTAGGTCCTTAGAGACTGGGTCTCTCTACAGCTTACAGTACACATAGCTCTGTGAAGCACCACAATGGAGACCCCAGTGTGTAAAGATCACATTCAAGGCTGGACTGCAATTTCCCTGTACAGTGGGGTGTGGGTAGGGTTTCTAAAACTAGCAAGTACCCATAAGTTTCAGCCCAAAGGCCTTACTCACGAAGTGAGTCTTTAGAGACTGGGTCACACCGGCTGCTGTCCTATGGCTCTAGACCTGGAAGTGCTCTGCAACTAACAAAGGACACATTCCAGGATAACCCTTCAATGTTCAGTCCAATGGAATCCAGGTACAGCCTCCAAAGATGTTGCGGAGGATACAATGACCCGGATCACTGCTGTGAAGGGACGAGATGAAGCAGAGTGTTTGAGGTCCTGACTGACGTTACCTCCCTGCTGTGTATCAAATATCTCGATCGAAGAGAAAAAAAATCGCAGTAAGAAAATATAGTCAGCAAAACTAAGAAAACAAACCCAAAACACTGAACCTCATTAAACCCACTAGTAGAAAAAACAAAATGGAAGGTTGGAGGCTGAGGTATACAGGGGCTGGCTTAACGTTTTGTTTGCCATTGTTCAAACCTCTTGAAGTTTGCAGTATAACCCACATGTTCAAGATTTAGTACTATCAGTCCTGTGCCCCTGATTGTATGATAAAGAAAATATATTGGAGCCCAAATACTGTATGTGTGACATAAAAACATTAGACTACCACCATTTGATACTACAGGGCCTCTGCTTTTAGAAACTATATCATGGTTTAGACTTTAAGTATGTTTTTATTTTCAAAATGTTTTTTTTATTAGGTGTGAGCTAAAAGGGTTAATACTTACAAAATAAATCTGGTGCTGGAAAATGTGGCTAGGAACGGTGATGATGAGGAATCGCATCCATGTGAACATTTAACTTCATCTCGTTGTCAATTATTTGGACAAGTTGCTGCACGGATGGGATATGTCCAGATTCTAGCTTGGACCACACAGGAACATCTGTAGAAGGGATAAAAAAAACAATTAAGAACACTGCGACCACCTTGTTAAAACTTCATGATGAGTGGAGTCACTTCTCCACTGTAAGGGATACAGCGCAGGCAGGTAAAGGGTTAAATGACAACCCTTCCCCCACACGCAAGGTCTTTTTCTCACTTGTCCATGATTTTGGCAGATTTCCACAGGGAGCTGGTGATACTATTGGCTTGAATCTACCTTTGCACTACATTGGTCACCATAGTTCGAGGACAGTATAGCAATCTAATCTGGACATGCTGTCTGTGCTACACTGCAGATTTCCCAAACAAATGAAGCTGGAGGAAGCCGTCAACCTCAAGCAGACATCTATATCCATTCCAAATAATCACTGGTGCTTTGTTTCTATACAGAGTTATGAAAATTGTCCAGATGCAAATCCAACACCACAGCAGAAATATTTACCATTCAAAGTGATCTCGAAGGCTCCTGTGGACATGCACTGGTTCTCGATCATGTTGCTCAGGAAGAAAACCATCATGCAGGCATAGACCTGACAAGAAAACAAACAGTACAAAGTAATGACAGCTATGGACCACTTGAGTCCCCGGACCTTTAATTAATGAAATAGTTAAGCTTTTGCAAAAGCTTCTTTCTTTAACCCCTTCGTGACTGACGACGTACAGTGTACGTCGCCAGCATCGGGGCTGTTTAAACAGACCCCCGGTGACTTTTGCCGCCGGGACTCTGTTTAAACTTGTAGAGCCGACTGTCGGCTTTACAACAGAAGCGATCCTGGCGACTTACCTGTCGCCAGATCGCTTCGGTGTCCCGAAGAAGGGGCCGCCCCCCCGTCGGACACCGCCGCCGTGCTTCCCGGGCTCCGTTGCCCCTCCTACGGGCCCGGGACTGTAAGCCCCTCTATGTGATAGCAGTCAAAGTTAAAAAAAAAGAAGCTTTTCCAATTAAAATTAAATAAAATCAATCCAATAATATTAAAAAAAATTTTAATGTCCCCGCGAGCACGCGCGTCGCCACATAAACACGCGTCGGGTGCACCTACGTATGAAAACGACGAACGCGCTACACATGTTGGGTATCGCCGCGCACGCCGGAGTGAGAGCAATAATCCTAGGGCCAGTATTTTGGGGTATCTCTAAATTGATGACCTGTGGGGGCTTTTAAAGCGTCTTCTATTGACTTTTTGGGGTACTGCAGTTTTTCGCCGTTTCACGGACGCTCGCAATTTGTAACCTGGCCATGTTGGGTATCGTTTCTCGTTGTAACCTCATCTTTTATATGTCATTTAAAAAATTGGTATTTTGTTGTGTTTTGGGGCATTAAATTACATTTTTCACTAAATATTGGGGTTTAATAAGGAGTTGCGCTAATATTGCGCAACATAAAAATTTGCAACTACCACCATTTTATTCTATAGGGTCTAGGCATTCAGAAAATATATAATGTTGGGGGGTTGTAAGTCATTTTCAGGCCTAAAATGTGGAATATAACATGGGTGCAAAAAATGAAAAAAAGGGCCTCAGTCATGAAGGGGTTAATTAATAAAAGAATGAAGCCGTAACATTCAAATATGGGATCGCTAAATAGCCATCCAATATTTGACAGCTGAAGATAGCAGAGTGAGTCACCTCTCTATTCGTTTTGACAGCTCCATAGACTGGCTTGAAGTTTATGATACATTTCAGGCACAATGTTACAATGTATCTCTTTGCCTGAAATGTATCACTTCTGATCCTCTGAGCAGGATCAGAAACCTTTAGTGAGATCTGAATCTGACACGCTGTCAGAATCAGTCTCTAAAGGTTATAATTAGCTGTTCCTAAGTTTGGAGCAGCCTAACCATAACCACTAAAAATTAAATAAAACATTATAATCAAAACTTGTGAAAAAAGTGTTTTCTTTACGTTTTTTCCTAATTTTTTAAAATATTTTATTCAAACGAAGTGAGGCGTTAGGTACACATGTTGAATATAATTATATAGCCCTATCTGTCCTCTAAAAAACAATATATAACATGTGTGGGTACATTTAGTAAGAAAGTATATTACAGCCGTGGAAGGATCACACAGAAAAAAATGTAAAGCGCGTCAGTCAGTTATGAACAGAAACTGAAAATAAGCTCAGTCATGAAGGGGTTAAGCAATGTAGTGTTTGGTCTCAGAGCCATTGTCTGTTACCTGAATGCACAGGGCAAGATGATGTAACAGAGAGCAATAGGAATTATTAGATCATTTATGCCTACACTAAGGGATTTTGATTACTTCTGGACATAGCTAAACACTTCCAGCAGAATAATTAAAACAATGTAGAATGTATGTAGCCGGTAATATTAACATTGTCCATAGCCAAATGCTGCCCAATACAGCAATGAAATCACTAGTGCATATCAAAAGGGGCTGATTACCATCAATGTACAAACCAGCAGACTATTTTTACATAATGGTTTACTCCTAGCCTACTGCTCTTTTATTCACAAGGACCCATGCACACACACAGGAATTAAAACACATGAATCCAGGGGGCTTTGGACCTCATTTCTAATAACTCTAATAGCACCTGGAAGCATATAATGCTTTACTATGGTTGAATGTACACCTAGAAGTGTGTAGGTGCATCGAGGATAGCTGTGTTTATACAAATAAGAATTGTATGCTTCCTGGGACTGTTCATCCTGAACTTATGTGGCTAAATGCATCTAAAAGTGACAAAATCCGAGCAACATCTAAAACACAGGAAAAAGATCTGGGGAGCACAAAAATGGTTTATATTGCCCAGATAATGTCTGTGTTTAACACAGAAGGTCTATGTGCACGAGGCCTAGTCACTAGGGATGTTCAGATACCAGTGCTGATACTTGGCATTTTACCAGGGTTGCAGCTGGGACCTGGCTCTGGCGCTCCACCACTGTCCTGAAATCATTAGTCTGTATTGTTTTAGAAAAACTGTCACATGACAACAAACAAAAATGTATCAGTACTTGTATCTGTGAGGACTTGGACAAGTACTTGGGTGGGAAAAAAATGGTGTTGGTGCTTTCCTGAGATCTATCTCTCTCTCTCTCATATATACCTATTAATATATTATTACTCCTGCTGAGCACCAACGCTGAGGTAATTTTGTACTCACAGTAAGCACTGACACCATGGAATTTGTTTTACTCCCAGTGAGCAGTGAAGTAGAGGAATTTGTTACTCCCGATGAGCACTGGAGCTGGGGCATTAATTACTTCTACTCATCACTGAAACAAGGTCACTTATTACTCCTACCAACCACTAACAAAAGAACATTATTATTCCCACTGACCACAGAAGCACGGGCATTATTATTCCCACTGACCACAGAAGCACGGGCATTATTATTCCCACTGACCACAGAAGCACGGGCATTATTATTCCCACTGACCACAGAAGCACGGGCATTATTATTCCCACTGACCACAGAAACACGTGCATTATTATTCCCACTGACCACAGAAGCACGGGCATTATTATTCCAACTGACCACAGAAGCACGGGCATTATTTTACTTCCACTGAAACATGGGCATTATTATTCCCACTGACCACTGAAAAATGGGCATTATTTTACTTCCACAGAGCACAGACACAGAAGCATTATATACTACTATTGACCACTTAAGCAGGAAAAATGTTTTCTCCCATTGACCACCAGCTCTTCCACATCCAGGTATGGAGGAGCATGTGATCTCCAACCCAGAGATAGCACTAGGGTCTAAAAACTAAGCGCAAGAGCCGAGCACTTTTGCATGACTGGTGGAATGATGTTACCACAAGGCGTAAGGCGAGTACATAGGTAGGGTCCTTTGCAGGGATGCGGTCAGTTTCTCCTACAAGGGTCAAGGTGAAGTTGTTTTTCTAAAAAGAAAATCAGTATGTGGGGAAAAAAGGCAGCAAATTGCACAGATATGCCACCTTTCCTAATTCTGACTTCATCAGAGAGCTAGACACCCCTGAGCCTTATGTGACAGCTGCTCCGGGATAGACCAATTCCTTGTGAGAGGTGGGTGCATGTGTGTGTTTAAGGGGGCAGGTTTGCCTCATACTTTGAAGGAATCCCTACAGGTTTTCTTCCAAATACTGTGGTAATTACCTTATTTTCTTGTCCCCATTGCCAAAAACTTGGAGCTTGCATGCCAAAAAAAGCAAATGGGTCCTTTCCAACAATTATGAATCCTATTAATACTAGCTTGAAGATAGACAGGAACGATGCAAGGTGTCTGAAAGAAAGAAACACAAATGGAATGAATAACAAAGTTAAACTCACCTTTCTGAAAAACCATGTAAAGCAGTGAGATTCATGAAATGCAGACAGTCGAAGGTGCCAGCATGTACCCATTCAGACTCTTCAAGGATACAGGGAGCCCAGAAAACTAGGATTTTCCAATATGCAGACACCATCAATTCAAGTACAACTTGCCACTAAAGAGACCTTAACCAGTATTGCCTGTGGGCTCCATACAGCTGATCCCATTACTTGCTTACATGCTTTGTTCTGCATTGTGGGGCGGCCATCTTGGTAAAGGCATAGGGTTTTGCTTCCTCAGGTCAGAACCTCCAGCAAGGAGAGCAGTAATGACCTCACTAAATCTCACTCCAAATCCAGTGAGAATAGCAGTCAAGAGGCAGTAATACCTTAGATCTCACACTGCAGATATACAGCTATGAGGCTGTAGGCATGCCTGAACATTCTAGGTAGAACACTTCTGTTTTTCAGGAGAGATTTCAGAGACAATGGTAACATTCCCAGGGCACTGCTGAGGCACAGGTAACACTGCAAAGCATCAACTTTGAGTTCAGGAATCCTTAGTGACTGGTAGGGTACCATGTGATTGGCGGAGGGCTACAGTAGTTCCAATATTCAAAAAGGGGGCAATATGCCAACCAGGGAACTATAGGCCGGTCAGTCTAAAATCGGTAGTTTGTAAACTGTTAGAAGGTATAATTAAGGACTATTTGGTAAAATTTGTTAAGGATAAGGGCATAGTTAATGACAATCAGCATGGGTTCAGGAAAGACCGTTCCTGCCTGACTAACTTGCTAACTTTTTATGAGGGGGTAAGCAGAGATATGGATGGAGGGAAGCCGGTAGATGTGGTATACCTGGATTTCTCAAAGGCATTTGATACGGTACCACACAAGCGCTTACTTCACAAGCTGAGGGCTATGGGCATAGATGAGGTGGTGTGTACGTGGATAGAGAACTGGCTACGGGAACGTGTCCAGAGAGTATCTGTAAATGGCACCTTTTCGGACTGGGCTAGTGTAATGAGCGGTGTGCCTCAAGGATCTGTGCTGGGTCCGTCCGATACTGTTCAACCTATTCATTAATGACATTGGGGAAGAAATAGCCATGTTTCCGTGTTTGCAGACGATACAAAAATAGGGAGGGTACTAGAAACGGATCGTGACAATATAACATTGCAGGAGGACCTGGATAAAATAGGGGAGTGGGCAATACTATGGCAGATGAGGTTTAATGTCGATAAATGCAAAGTAATGTACTTTGGACATAAAAATAAACAAATAGGCTATACAATCATGGGTATGCCGCTAGGGAAGTCAGAAATAGAAAAAGATTTGGGGGTCATTGTAGACCACAAACTGAATGGTAGCTTGCAGTGCCAAGCTGCGGTAAACAAAGCTAGCAGGGTCTTGTCCTGTATTAAGAAGGGGATGTATTGCAGGGACAAGTCTATAATTGTGCCTCTATATAGATCGTTGGTTCGGCCACATCTGGAGTACGCGGTCCAGTTTTGGTCGCCGGTACTGAGAAGGGATGTCCTTGAACTGGAGAGAGTCCAGCGGAGGGCAACAAAACTAATTAGGGGAATGGAGGACCAGAGCTATGAGACAAGGCTTCTGACCTTAAACATGTTTACGCTGGAATTAAGGAGATTAAGGGGGGATATGATTTTCATGTACAAGATGTTCAATGGTGACAGCAACATTAGCAACAAACTGTTTGAGATTAACTCCATTACAAAGACTAGAGGCCACCACCTAAAGTTGGTGGAGAAAAAATTCCAGCACAATGGGCGAAGAGGGTTCTTTACAGTAAGAGCGGTTAAGGTCTGGAACTCACTGCCATCGGCAGTGATTTCAGCCAAGAGTGCAGATTTGTTCAAGAAACGTTTGGACAATTTCTTGAGGGACCGTAATATCCAGGATCCCTAAGAATGAGATGATGCGTGGACCTATATGGGTTGGACTTGATGGACGTATGTCTTTATTCAACCCCAAATACTATGTAACTATATAACTATGTATGTAACTATGTAACTTTAAAGTAAAGATAAATCACAGAGCTGGAACAATTTGTAACTTTGCCCGCTATATGCCGACAGCTCAGAGCCATACTGCAGCTGTCGGGCTCCACCCAGCTGGCTGATTGACAGCAGAGGCAGAGCCACCTGTGTCCATCCCTCTGTCCCTCCAGTTAGCAATGGAGGAAAGGAGGGCGAGGGAAGAATCCCTGAAGGGAGTGATGACTGACAGTCACCGCTCTCTGCAGGGTGAAGATTGTGAACTGAGCCATCGATCTATAGAGCCGGCATGTGACAACTGCAGTGTCACACATCGGCTCTAACTATTGGGATTGGTACATTTCACTCATCCCATAATTCTCCTTTAATTAAACTTTGATTTTCGCCCCAAGAAAAACACTTTTGAAAACAACTCAACATGAAGTAATTCCTCTCCATTGTAAACGGGCAGGCCCTCCTTACCATCTTGTCTTGAATTGTATTGTAATGTCTTTCTTATATTGTAACGCGCTGCGCAAACTGTTGGCGCTATATAAATCCTATGTAATAATAATAATCAACCAAGAAAAACAGAGAGAGTGGACAAAGCCGTCTCCGACATTTTGGATACATACAGAATTGTAAATGTAAGAAGGTGCTCATGTACTCACCTATAAATTGGGTGAGGAAGATAATTTTCTGCTTCGATGCGGATGTCTGGGTACCGCTGGCTTATAACCCGCATGTACTCCTCAAACACCCGCCGATAACCTCAGGAGATGCTGCAAAAAGCAAAATATATTTATTCAGCAACTGATTTCAAGGTGAATCACCTCTGACCTTTTAATACATCCTATAAAGATCAATTCCAGTGAGAAACATCTCTTAGCAACACAGTGATGCACACATTCAATACTCCGGTTGGTAGCCTTGGAAGCCACCATTTACCATGACCTTGCTTTTGACGAACACCGGGAATATTTCCATTTCTTCTGAATGCAAAAACAGCAGATTGTTTTAGAAAGACGACCACACACAATGTATAAAGGACGTTCAGCTTTTCTTTTTACCTGTACAACATTCTTTCATGAAAAAGTAATATTTCACAGAACCTAAAAAAACTCATCTACACCATTTGGCATCAGGAAAGTGCGTGTTGTCTGTAAAATGGCTCATTCCACCCTCCTTTCATCTCTAGCTGGATCTTAAAGATAGCAGTAGAGTTAACACAGGAGCTGTGGATTATAACATGCCGCTTGTGGGAAACAGATCTGTGCTTTAGTAATCCACGCTGGATTTAATCTTATACAAAGCAGGGATGCCAATTAAAATTTTGATCCTTGGCAGTTATTAATCTCTAGCACTGAAATCACATTGAATGAGGAGGGCTTCCCAGTTATATAAAATGAAGATCCCACGAAAAGTGTATTCCTAACTTTAGAGGAAAATCAGACATTTTACATTTTGAAGTCCGACCTAAAGGCAGACACAACAGGGTGCCTGCTAATACATTTGTTATTTCGGAAAGTCTCCTCTGTGTGCCACATGGAAACTAGTTTCACTTTTCCCCACCAATTACCATCGTCTTGTCTAATGAAAGTGCCAACAAAGGCACGATTTTGCTGCGTTTATCACTCTTTTTAATAGGTCAAATGAGAGATTTCTTCTGAATTGCTGATTTGACTCAAGGACAAGAAGCGAGAGGAAATATTCCCAACAGGACAAAAGGCAAGAATAAAAACCTGACAGGGGTTCCAACTAGGGATGCACCGATAATGATACTAGTATCAGTGCCCATACAGAGTATTTGGGCGAGTACGAGTACTCGCCCAAATGCTCCAGACACTCATCCCGATACTGGAACGTCCGGCATCAGGAAGCCGGGCAGCGAGTCATTACACTCTGCCTGGCTTCCTGATTGGCCAGAGACAGCTGCCCGGCTAAATGGGAAGATGGGAGGCGATTAATTACACACAACTCTGCTTCCTGAATGGGACTTTCTGTATTGGCAAGTGCCAAAAACATTTTTTTATCGGTACTCCGTACCGAAAACCTGGTATCAGTGCATCCCTAGTTCTAATCATTACCTTGTTTATCCAAAACAGTGAACAAGCCACATCATTATGAATGGGATTTGTATGCAATAAATAAAAGAGGCGTGCTTTCTACTGCAGGAAAACAGACAAGCACGAAATAGAGAGATTCTCCCTTATGAGGAAATTATAGATTTTTTGAAAAAACATAACTAGTGACAACCTTCAGGAATTTTTTTTGTCCATAGACTACTAAAAGGAAGACCTATTAACCTCCCGGGGAAAAAAAAAAAAGAACGTATGTATGTATGTATATATATATACATACATACATACATACATACATACACACACACACACACACATACGTTTACATGAAAAATCTCATCAGAACATTTGAGATGCCATCAGAGACTTGATGTGTCACTTTTGATGTTAACATTTGATTGTGGAATGGATGGAATTTCTTGAGCAAAAAAGAAACCAAAGAAAAAAAAAACAACAGATTATGCAAATGCAACGGACTTTTTTCGTGTGAATGCAGCCTACGTTGGGTAAGGCTCCGTTCACACATTAGCGGTTCTCTGAGCGTGTTCGTATGCACAGAAATGCACTAAACCTAAAAAACAATACCTTCCAATGTATCTGGTTCATACCTGTGCGATGTCCGGGCATTTAAAAAAATTTAAAAGTCCAATCACAGTATTGTGGGTGGATTCCACATGTTCCAGCTGTAGTAGCCAAAAACGTGCGTATGTTAAGATTCGCACGTTTTTCTGCTGCGCGCAAAATGCAAACGCTATGTGTGAATGGAGCCTAAAGGAAGCAGCTTAGAAAATATTCCAGACCAAACTTTAAAAATGGCAGTCATACCCTGAAGATGCAAAAACCCTTCAGATAAAAAACAAAAACAAATGACACTTATTTTATAAGCGTCGTCCCTATTAGAAAACCACATTTTCTGCGCTAGTGTCATAAATTGCGGCTTTGTTGGCCATCAGAGAGGTTTGTCAGTGTTTTTACATATTCATATTGCTTCTATTTTCTCTCATGTGGATTCTTCACGAGAAATATTTTTGTTCCTGTAATAGAAGCTTAGCAACCATATTGTCGACCAGTTTACACAACAAAACGAGCGATTGCATCAATCAGTATTTTGCAATCAACATCCATAAATAGAATGCAAAAAAAAAAAAACCACTGGAATTTTAAAACTACAAAACAGAATTTTAAAATAAAGGTGACAATACAACTGCAGACCCGGCCACTTCTCCTAGGCATCAACGTGCGATTACCTGCAGCAGAAATCCCTAATCTGCTGTTCACATGCGGCAGCTCTCCCCCATTCAGGTTAATAATCGGGTGAAAGCCACTGCATTGGAACACTGGCATGTCGCATGTAATCGTATGTGTTACAAATACACGCAGTTAGGAAGCAAGAGTGATTGATTTACATGTGGTGTCGGCATTCAAATGCAGCGGCTGTCACCCAATCACTTGAACGGGTGACCGCTAGCGCTTTTAGACGGCAGATTAGGGATTCCTGCGGCAGGAAATCGCAAGTTCCTCATGCAGGAATCCCTAATTGCACCTAAAATATAGGTGTGAATGGGGCCTAAGGGTAAAGTAACAGGTTACCTTAAAAAGACCCCCCACCACCACCCACACAGTATCTTCTGTTCCTGCGTCCCAGTTCACCTGTCAAAACCAAGTTAAAACGCCAAAATGCCCAGGGCTGAGGATCCTGCCCCACATGAATGCGCTTAGACTTGGTGATTGCCCAGTTAGGCATCCAGTGCTGCTGTGTGAGAGGGCACTACTATACTTACCCATACCCAGAGGTACAAGGTACTATTTTTTCCCCTCTCGTCCAAGTATACAAACAAGAAAAATAGCAGTTTTGTAAATAGCAATGTTGATATACATGTAATCAGAGATTTGTTGGTGTTTATATAAACTCTGTTCTCTGTTTTCTAACAATCCTACCAAAAAATTGGAATCATTTCCATTTATCTATATTAACGCAAAGAAAGATAACAGCTCAGGAAAGAGAAGGAACTATATTCACAAACTTCCCTAAGAAATATTAAAGGGGACCAATTCTTAAATATTACCAGTTCTACATGATGAATAAAGAGTAACGGAAGGGTTGAAACGCTGATTGCAGACTTCCTCCAATGCTGTGACATAAAGCCTTGGATCAGCTAATGTGGACTGTGATACTTTCACATGACCAACCACCCAGGCTTTTGGTCATGTGATCAGCTTCAAGAGGAGACTACACAAGAATTATCTACAAGTGTTGCAACCCTTTAATCGCTCTTCATTTATCTCTTTATCGGGCTCTTTCAGACACGGCCCCTTTCCCACGGGCTGGCGGAGACACACACCCGTGCACAGATCCTCTCCTGATCAGAGTAGTACGGAGAGGCTGTGACATCCGTGTCCATACAGTTTTTTTCCCCATCCATCTTCTTATGGAGTAAAGAACTGCAATTACCGGTCCCCATGTCTGTCTATGGGGAATCAGATGTAAAAGGACACCTGTCAGTTTACATCAGATTACCCCCGATCCGGCACTTTCAGATCCGGCGAAACGGTTCTCTGATCCATTTGCTTTTCCGGACCTGGCTGGAGTCGGGGGTAACCGGTGTAAACGCATGCCCGTCCGTTTACACATAGCTGCCATAGACTTACATTAGGCATCGGATCGGGTCCGCCTGAAAAACGAATAGGCGAACCTAATCGAACCACCCATGTGAAAGGGGCCTACAAAGCACACCTTTTGCGCTTAATACTTTAATGTTAACAGTCTTATTGTGCCGATACATTAAAAAAGACTTCCTTTTGTACAGAGTTTGTAATTCTCTGTGTACATGGGAGCAGCCATATTGGTTGTGTCATGCACTCAGACAGCCTGATGCTACACACCCAGAATGTTCCTGCTAGTCAGAGATCATTTTCTGAGCCTAAACTGCTCATTCAGCTGACTTCTTGTTTAATATTTATGATCAGAAAGTAATACTATCAATACAATTATGTGGCTCTGAAATGCGGACGTGCACCTTACTGGTCACAGAGTGAATTTTAGTATGGGCTCCACTTCAACATAACTGGGACTCCAAATAAAAAACACCTTCTATGACATTTGCTGGGTCCAGCTTAGTTCCCTCTAATGCTTGGTATACTGCATCTAGAGGGTTGCCGGGGTGCTAAAAATCTTCAATGTATTCATGTTGGATTTACTGTGTCCCATCTCCAAACTCAGCTGCTTTGAGGTCTCCTGGTGGTACCCTCCCCAGTTTCCTGACCTGACCTACAACCCCCCAGAGCATTTACTTTCCATGATGGTGGTGGCCTCCTGTGGTGCTTTCCACCCGTGTCCTGATATCTTCTTCAGTGCAGTGACTCCCCATAGACTTACATTGGGGCATATTCCATACAGAAGAGATGCTATGAGCACAGCTCCATTCAGGTCTATAGGGAGGTACAGTGCAGGCAGGGTCAGATATCAGTAATCAGGGCAGGAGGGTGACGTAATCATGGAAAGGTAAGTGACTGGTGGCGCGGTGAAAGAATAAAGGGGGCTTGAGAGAGCAGATGGGGGAATTTTTAAGGAAAGTATAGTTGTAAATTACACTCTGACCATGCAATCTCTGGTAAATCTAGCAATGATTGTATAATGCAAGGGCCTCCCTGAGTGGATACAAATTGACTAAAATTGGTTGTACAGGGATTGTATGATCAGGTTGTAACATGTATGCTGACGTAGGATACATTTCACGCTCCTCAACCTTTTTTACTGGGTGCTTGAGAAAAACATACATGAAAAGCATGATCAGCGACCCATCAGAGTTCTGTAGGGATCCACCTCTACACAACCAGTCCTATGCCGCCATCTTCTTCTCAGATGTCACAAGGGGACTGACAGCTGTCCCCCTGATGACACACAATGTGCAGAACAGTACCCCAAAGCCCCCTGGGCTGCATAATACATGTTCCCCCCCCCCCCATATTTGATAACACCCTCCTTCCTTGTATGGAGACAAAGCTCCCATCCCCCATTGCTATTCTTGCCCGGCTCCGGATAAGGAAGCCATTACATAGCGGGGGGGGGGCTCACGTCATGTAATACACCAGAGCACAAGGTGCCGTGACAGGGCAGGTCATTACTCAGCACCATGCTGTCTCGGCTCCTCTAATAATGGCGGAGGGGCCCCGTAGGCCAGCACTCACCATATCTGGAACTTGAGCAGCGGGCCGGCCGTGTATTGCATCCTCAGCTTCTTGCTCGGTAGCCCATTCCCATCCGCCGAGACTCCGCTCAGTACGCTGGCCAATACCCCGCTAACTAGCAGCAACCACGATACACACCGCACCGACATCCTGACCTCAGCAGCTACTGCCAGAGTGCCAGTGCCAGGGTACGGGTCTTCGTGACGTCAGCACGGTGCGAGCACGGCGAGTCTCGTGGGGGGCGGGTCGAGCGGTCTGCGGCGGCCATGTTGATTGTGGGAATGCAGTGTCTCTGATGGGGGCGGGGATGTAAATTGTGTATTCCATAAAAACACATTTTCTAATTCTCGCATTCTTTATGAGTGTTAAGTACACGTCAGGGTTAATGGCTTAAGAACGTTGCTGATTTACATGCCTTGTGTTGTTACAAAAACTGTACACTCCATTCAGGTCCCTGCACAACAGTGTGGTGTACTGCGCTGCCCTGACATGCAATGTGGGCAGTTTTTTATGAGCCCTGGCAGTGATTGACCACCCTGATTGAGGGGGTCGGAGCCTGAAGAGGAACGTTGAGAGCCTAGTTCTCCATCAGATCCTCTTTGCTGTTGACTGACATCAGGCAGTGGGTGCCATAGCCAATAGAAGGCTGGCTTTGCCACTTACCCACTATCTGCTGTCAGTAAGCAGTAGAGCAGACCTGATGGGGAACTGGGTTCTCAGAATTCACTACAAATTCGTGTAGCTGTCTGCAACACTCTTTATGAATTCCAGCCCAGCCAGTGTGGCAGAATGAGCTATCTGCCCTCTGAGCTGATTGGGCAGTGTACTTCTTTTGAAGGAGTAAGGGGCAGGTCACCTTAAATCATTCATATCATCTGTAAATCTGCAAACATGTTTCTAGAGCTGTCATGGTTGCATTTTTGCAACTATGTTTCTGGTGGTGTCAAAGCTGAACTGATTGTATATCTGCAGATGTGTTGCGGGTGGTGTCACTGTGGAACGGATTGTATCTCTGCAGATGTGTTGCTGGTGGTGTCACTGTGGAACTGATTGCATCTCTGCAGGTGTGTTTCTGGTGGTGTCACTGTGGAACTGATTGTATCTCTGCAGGTGTGTTGCTGGTGGTGTCACTGTGCAACTGATTGTATCTCTGCAGGTGTGTTGCTGGTGGTGTCACTGTGGAACTGATTGTATCTCTGCAGGTGTGTTTCTGGTGGTGTCACTGTGCAACTGATTGCATCTCTGCAGGTGTGTTGCTGGTGGTGTTATTTTGGAACCGACTGTATTTCTGCAGATGTGTTTCTGGTGGTGTCACTGGAACTGGCTGTATTTCTGCCAGTGGTTTTGGTAGTGTCACTGTGGAAATGATTGCATCTCTGCAGCTGTGGTTCTTGCGGTGTCACTATTGAACCAGTTGGATTTGCTTCTGGTGATGTCACTATTGAACATCTGAATTTCCACCATTGGCATTCACGTTCTATTCAGAATTTCTGAGCCGATCGTATAGCGAGACCCTTTCATAACCAATTCATATTACCAGGGCTGTGAAGGACTCTCTCTGGTGGTGGACACAGCAACACAATCGTTTGAATTACCTGCCGATCACAGTGTCCATTTGGAACACGATTACATCTGACGCACGTGAAAGGTTCAGCCACTTATGTAATGGCCCAAGCGACATCTCAAGACAACCAACTGTGACCCAGAATCAGGTGGGAGATGCATACAGCCAATCCTTTATTTCCAAGTGGGTGCTCAACCAGAAAGTCTGAAGTTTTGAAGCTGAAGGCCAAGTGGGTCATACATGAGATCAATTTCGTGGTGACACCATGGAATATGCAATTTCTATTCAGGACATATTTCCCACTTACAGAGTGTGTATACTTTCTTGATTTGAGGTCACAGGAGGCTGCAGTGATAGAAATATAGGAGACCGTGGTTCAAAACATTGTTGCAGTTCATTAATGACCAAGGAAACATGTGGGTCCCGAGGTTACACAGGTTGAGAACCACTGGTCTAGAACCTCTGATCCTACTGCCAGGCATTCCAGACTTGCTGTCTCATGGTGACATCTCCATCCAGCCCCAGGATGCATCTCACGGCGTGGAAGTTGAGAGGCAAAAGCTTAAATTAGGTTTCTACACTTTTGAAAGCAAGGAAATTGTCTGCCATTAAAACTTACCACAAGTTTGGGCAAAATTCATCTTCTTAACAGAAAGAAACAACTGGGATCCCATGTCTCCAAACCCAGCTCAAGTCTTAGGCTGGGCACACACCTTACAACCATCGCAAGACTTTTGTCTTGCGATGGTTGTAAGGTACTTAAAAAAACGTACGATCTGCCTATCTTGCATAGGCAGATCGTACTTGCGATGATCGCAAGCCACGCCCCCCGTGGGGCGGGCTTCCGATGACCGCAATGCCGAACGGGCAGTGTGCGCTTGCGCACACCGGCCCGTACGGCTGTTATCGTACGGACATGCCACAAACCCGCCGAACATCGTACGATGCTCGGCGGGTTTTCGAACATGTCCGTAAGTTTAAAGTCGTGCGACCTTACAGTAGTAGAGGTCGCACGGCTTCCACACACCTTACGATAATCGTACGATCGCGGGATTTCCCGCGATTATCGTAAGGTGTGTGGGGACCTTTAGAGCTTTTACAGACAGGCCTGGTCAGAGGTTTAACTTCCAGCACACTAAAATTCCAAGTGTCAGCAATATCAGCTCTTTAAAATGCCCAAAAAAACTTCCATCCCAAAGTGGGACCTGTCGGTTATTATAGAAGCTCTGTCAAGAACCCCCTTTTCTTCCAACAGATATAGCTTGACTCTTACTTTAATTACTCTCTTACTGGTGGTCACATTCAGAGAAAGAGAACCATATACTGAAAGCAGGCACCCCCCAACAGCTGTAGCTTTAGGAATCGCATGATGGGGAAGCAGGAATCTGCTGAACTATGTGTAAACTCTACTCATTAGGGGAAGGTTCACATAGTGTAAGATTACATTGTCACATGGTCTTAATTAATTCAGTACAGAAGATATGGGAGAGAATATCCATTTGCAAAGTACTAATAGTTTATTTTTCACACCAAGCAGCCATTCATATGCTGCTCGGCGCTGAGTGTCAGTTTAAAGGAGAACTATGGGGTTAGGGCTTTTCCCCATAGTGCTCCTAAGGGTAACGGGAGGACACAAACTAGCGTCCTCCCGTCACCCTAAGCTCAGTATACCGCGAGCTACAGCTCGCGTTAAACAGACGCCGCAGCTGAAGCGGATCCCGACAATTATGTCTGGATCCGCCCAGCTGCGTGAGTGACAGTTGGCTCTGCCTATCTAGAGGCAGAAATTCTGGCACAGAAAAAGGCTATCCCACCTGAAGTATCAGAGTTGTAACCTCCCCACTAACTTAACTCTGACAATCTTTCACTGTGCTGCACTACTTTAACAAGTTGTTTGTTTGGTCATGACTTGAATGAGGAGGGTAATGAACTTTTAACAGGTAGCATGAGTCTGCGGACTTTTCCAGCTCCCGTGGCGTTATGATGCCTAGTAGGCATAACAAGCTGTGTTTTTGACTTCTGCTCATATATTGAAATGTTTTCCATACATTGGCTGGTAAGATCATGCCCTTTAACTGTTCCAATTTTAATAGGGCATTCCAGTTTTTGATTTTCTTGCCCAACAGCCCTCCTTCCTGTTCCATGTTGCAATGTCTTAATGTGTCAACATCTTAGATTTGGCACACTAGGTGAGGCTGAGCACTCAGCAAAACACATTGCAGCTAAATCACAGGATATAGGACCTTGATGATGGCATCCGACTCAGCCGCATATAATGAAGCATATTATCTAACCTGCCGTGCCAACCCTGTGGTGTGTTTTGGCATGTGCCTCTTGTTGAAGCATCAAAGAAGAAGCCAGAAATGTAGCTTGACTTTGTCAATGTTTATACCTAAAATGTGCCTCGTCTTTTGATTTGAGTCAGGATATTGTACTACCCACCTTCCTAAACAGAAAAAAAAAAGACCCTCACCTGCTGGATGTGGGTTACATTCTAAGAGCATATTTAGAGATCATCGCTTCCTTTAAGAACTCTGAAAGACTATTGTTCCCTTTATGGAGCTAGGGAAGATCATCCAGCATCAACCCACACACACTAGCATCCATCTGGCTAATAAAAGTAATTCACACTTCAAGGTCAGCATATTGCAGGCTGTCACCATAAAACATCTGCAATGCAGAAACATGGTCTTAGCAAAACACCTTCATTACACACTCCGGAATAGAGCCAGCCTGTTTGATGACAGTTGAGTTTGGAAGGACCATAGTGGCGCAAGCTACTCCTTCTATTATGTCACAATAAATGGGTTTGTTTGCACTACACACACCCTTGATTTGCGAGTTAATTCCCATTGTATGCTGCACCAGTGAAACGGAAAAATGTATACTCCCCTTTCTGCAATTTTATGGTGCACCCTCATGGCAGCATACAGATGCCCGACCCTTGTGGTGATGGTTACTAACATTGCGGTCTACTTTTGACCATGATTCTTCTTACAAACAAGCCGCACGTCCATGGATCTTCATACGTTAAAGCAACTTTTATTGATAACTCCCATGGGTATAACACCTCTCGCTACTGTGTTTCCCCGAAAGTAAGACCTAGTGCTATCTTCGGGGATTTCTGTAATATAAGACCTACCCCGAAAATAAGACCTAGTTCGGGGTAGGTCTTATATTACAGACATCCCTGAAGATAGCGCTAGGTCTTACCTTCGGGGTAGCTGCACATGTAACTAGATTTTCCATGTGAACGCCGTCCGCAGCTCCTTCCCGCCCCCCCGCCCGCCCACCTACCCGCACGCCCACCTATCTGTTGCTCTCTGAATGGCATCAGAGCGGAGAGGCAGCTCCCTTCCGCCCCCCTGCCAGACACGCCCCCTCGCCAGCCCACCTGTGTTTCTCCTTGTAATGATCAGAGCGGAGAGGCAGCTCCCTTTCGCCCCCCTGCCAGACATGCCCGTCCACCTGTTTGTGGGTCCCTGGACAGCAGAGCGGACAGCAGCAGCCAGGTAAGACATCCCCCGAAAAACCTAGTGTCTTTTTTCGTGAAAAAAAATAAAATATGACACTGTCTTATTTTCGGGGAAACACGGTAGTTTCCCTGATCTGGCCTCTATGATT